GAATTATTTTTCCAGTATAAAATTATTTAAGATACAAAACCTTTAAGCCCCATCACCCTTAAGATTTCCTGCATTAATTAAAATTGGAATATTTTTTTACATTTTCATATTGCATTTATAATATTTATTATATTTTAAAGTTATGATTTTGTTTGATTATTTAATTACAAATTTATTGATTTAAAATAAATATATTGTGAACAGAAATATATTTAATATTATGTTGAAAAAATAAAAATAATAATACAAAAAAAAAAAAAAAAAACAAAACTGAAGTAAAATATTTTTTGCATTTAAAGAAATGTATTCATATATATAATATTATGTTTTTTTTTTTTTTTTAGAATTGGTTCGGTAGTTACATGTATTATTCCCAGTATTGAATAAAATTTCAAATTACTTGCAAGCCGCATACATTTTTAATAGTAATTATTAAAATAAAAATGTGTAAATAATATATTAATTAACTATAGTTAATTAATATATGATTATAATGTTATAAAAAATTCACATAGTTTATAAAAATTATAAAATTTATTAGAATAATATTAGTATATTCATAATATTATTAAATTAATATTGACTTTTTATTTAATGTAATTTTAATATTGATGGAAGGTACTTCTTTGTTTCTTCTCCACACAAATATATTGACTCAATAATTTTAAAATTACTTCAATACTTAGTAAAACTAAAAGATACTAATATTTTTCAGTGTATTCTTAAATTCTATTGCATTTTTTTTATCACTAAAAATATTACTCAATATTATCTACTATAATGTAGTCTATTATACATTTCAACAAACTGGCATTACAATTAAAAATATTAATTTCAGATACATCTTTTGTCGTTGCTGCTCACAGATTTTCAATGGTCCGAAATCGAAATGCATTACGAAAGTGTTTCATACAATTGAAATGAGTGTTTATTTAGTTATTTTGAATTTTATAATGTACTATTTAGTCTTATTGCGAACGCGTAGCGAGTACCGTTGGTATTATGTATTTTTTCGAATGCTGCAGTTTATATAAATATTGATGTATTGATTATAAAATATGAAATGCTGCACTTCTATGAGTGTTTTAGACATCTATCCTATAATACCAACCCACTTAAGTTAAGTTATGTTTTTTTTTTGTTCTTTTTTAAACTAAATAAAGTACACTTTAAATAAATATTCGATACGTTGTATTTAATGTGGTTACTCATCTACCTACGTTATTATTTCACCGGTTTCACTTTACATTAAACAACTTTAACATCTTTACTAACATACTAACATGGTTTGTTTAGCATTCTGACCACCATTTGAATTATTAAGTAGATGGGGACGTGGTTAAGTTATAATACGCAAGAATTCATAACTATTATCATTTGAGATACTGTATAAGTATATATGTATGATTTTAAGCCGTCATGATGTAATGGCGGTTGATACTTTGGTCTAAGAACAAGAGTATTATGTGTGAAGAAACGGCACCAGAATTAATCCTCAATGTTAATTTTGAGGTCTCTTTAACCGTTATTAAGGTTAGCTGAAATGATAGTATACATCCTTATACATGAGATATAGGTATGAACCATTCTAGTCGTGAAAACATGATTTTTGATTCTATAAATACAGGTTTTGGATTAAAAATTATACGCCTGATTTCCCTTCCCGTCAAAATGATTTGACCATGTATTTTTTTTTTTTTTTTTTTTTGAAAATATGTTTTATTAAAATATATAATTCATTAGTTAATCTAGTTATCTATTAACGTATTTAAATATGAGCAGTATAATTAGATTATACTTTCTATAGGGTCTAAATATTTTTTTAATTATTTTAAATGCCATATAATAAACATCTATAGCGTATATTATACCATCTACAGAAAACATTTTCTGTAATTTACCTATACCTATGATCATAATATTTTATTCCAAATTGTATATATTACGCTTATATTTTTTTTAACTAAACATGGTTGACACAAAATTTCATTTATTAATAATATATTATAGTTAAAGTCTGAATTGTATTAGTTTTTTTCAATACGATGTTTTCTATTTCATTATAGACTATATTTATAAATAATATAAGGTAAATAATTCAATTTAATTTTCTTGGCAAAATAATGTCTTAAAATAAGCGCATTGATTTAGTCTAATTTATATACAACTATAATATTATGTTCATGCATATCGCGCACGTTATAATACTTAAAATTTTCTCAATATGTAAACTTCAGTAACAGCTGTTCTTAAAATCATTGAAGCCATAGCGACTAAAACGAATTAAATCCTTTACTGCACATATTATACTCAATTTTTACCCATTTTTATTTTCACCCGTATAGACGTTTAATTTAATACAGTAAATTATAAGTACGTAAATCAAATTTATTGTTTGAAATAAAACTTATTACTTAATAACTTGATATTAAAAAAAATACAAATATCCTATTTAACGTGGATGAAGTATTAAGACCATAAATCAAAATCACCAGAAATATGTTAATATTCATAAGAAACACTGATTTATATTATGTATATTTATATTTAGCAAAGGTAGACGAAAGATAACACAACTATATACATTTTATAATCATGTAGAATTTATGTATTTTATTAAGTATATATTAATTAAATACTAAATATACTTTACTATCTATGTAAACTTTATTATATATACTCGGTTTTCAAACCATGAACTAATAGTATTATTGCTGATTTTTCTATTGATCAATAAACAAATATATATAAACTTATTTTGAATATTATATATAGTTTTTCATTTCAAATTTAATTGACAATATTATATTAAAATTAAAATACGAATACAATATTATTATTGCTATTAAATACTTGTTGTGTTGATGGTTCAAATTTTATAATAGGAAAATACTTGAATAAAATGTACTATATTTTAGTTTTAATACATAAAGAGCTAAAGTTTATTCAAGTATAGATAAGATTTTTTTTAGTTTTAATTTCTATTTGACAGTCAAAAATTTTAAAATTTCACCATACAAATTTACGATACAGTTAATAACTTTTCTTGAAAGGGATAAACCAATTCATAATTTTAAAAAAAATGTGCACGCACAAAACAACTTAATTAATTACTAATAATTTGAAGTTTCAAATGTATGAAGAATATATACTCATATATAAAATGTTACAATAATACAACCTCCAATAATGATACTTATGTGGAATAATTTGTAAAATAATTATAATGAACGTTTTTATTATTTTTTAATTTCAGTTTAATGCTTTCAGTGCAATGTTCACAATTTTGATTGTTATAACTGCTATTATCAGTTTATATAAAATATATTTTTCCTTAAATCCTAAAATTCTGACATTTTTATAGTTTATATAATAATTTATCAACATTAGTAATGGATTATTATAATTATTTTTTTTTATTTCTATAATACATTGAGTGTAAAATGTAAATAATGATAATATATCGTAATATTATCAAGTTATTTAATGTTATATATTTTTGGCTATAGGTATTACTTATGTTATTGTACATGTACATTGTTTTAGTAATTGCAATTTGAACATATATAATTTGATTAGACCGCAAAATATTAATAGTATTTACTATAATTTACTTTAAACTCATAAATTACATTTAGAAACCAGGAAAGTAGCATGCTTGAAAGGTGCGTTTTTTTGTGCTATTTAAAATTATTATTGTTTTAGGAAGCAATGAATTGTTAGGTAATACTAAAATCCCTAAAGACAGCTTGGCATTTAATGCGTTTTATTATTGAATACATTTCCTGTTGTTTATTTATAACCGTATAATAATAATAATAATAATAAAATATTATTTAGTTGGATATTGGTTGCACCTTAGCCATTTACTACCAAATATCACACTGCTGGTATCCATAAACTTCTTAATAAAAGTTTTTATAACTTGTCCCCGCAGAGAGTAAGAGGTGTAAAAGGACGGAATACTTTTGTCGTTAAAACTTTTACTGTCGTAATAGAAACATGTTCATTTCAATTATTTGTCACAGTTGGCTACAAAAGTACAACGAAAAGTTGCAACTAGAATTTGAATTAATTATTACGTAGATGTATTTGTCAGTTTTATTTATTGTCGAAGTGTATCAACCTAGAACTATAAAATTATACATTTTTGTTTCTAAAATATGTGTGAATAATATTAAACTCATACATAACTTTATATTTAACAGTCAGTTGTTTATTTTGTATCACATTATTCATGACTACTGCCACTACATGGATCATAATAAATTATTGGTAAAATTAATTTATAAAAGAATATTTTTACTGTAATAAATTAATTTCGTGTTACATATTATTCAAGAAAATGTTAGATATAGAAAGGATATTATTAAATTTATAATGTTACGCTTTGTTAGGTTAGATTAGGTTGGGTTGGTAAATCTTAATTTGATTATTTGTTGTTTCTTCAAAACATAATTATTTATCTAAAAAATGAACAAAGTTCAACAAATGTCAACACTAAGTATCTCCTATAGACTTTTAAAATGTCATCCCTTTGATATACAAAAAGATAATATAAAACACTACCTTTTTAATGTATAATTTATAAATTATTGCCATAATTTAAATTTTGAAATAACTTTACCTTAAAGAGTATTATAATTTTTAAAGAACTTGAATTAAGTTAGAAGTAATACATATTATATTAAATACGTATATATATATGTATATATCTTTTCGATATATAATTTATATATAATATATATATATTATTTTCTAAGTTTATTTAGTATTTCTTAAATGTTCATAAGGGAGAGAATATCATACATATTTAAAAATATCTCTATTATAAATATTTGAACAACATTTTCCACTTAACTGGCTTACATCAAAAAACATTATTCAAATAAAATTAATAACATTAAAATGTATTTTAAACAGACTCCTATTTAATTTAACGATACATTTATTATTATTATTATTATTACTACTCTCATCGTTTAATAACTGTTTTGCAGTTCAGACCGAAGCTAGAGAGCGGATTACTTGTACTCCGTGGACGTCTAGACTGCCAAAAATGGCACAACCCGATTTGGATTATATAGGTGAGTTTGATAATATTATATACATTTTAAATTAAAACATGAGGAAGAACCATTAATATCTATACTTGATAATCTTTAAATGAATACTTACGGTAATGGAGTCTACATGACCTTATTATTTAACCCTTTAATTTTAATCTGACTATAGTATCCTGCATACATAATATATATACCATGCATAAAATCAATAAATTTTCTCTTAGCGGTAATAAATAATAATATGTCATTTTAGCTCCAGAAGTCCAGTTATCTTCATATTGCAGTTCTCACAGTGATATGTACTCTTTGGGAATGGTAATATTCGCAATATTTAATAATGGTCGACCACTAATACAAGCGAACCACAGCAGTTCGACGTACATGAAACAATTAGATGTGGTGAGTATTATTTGTAAATTTATATGTTAAAAATAACAATTGGTATTATAAAAATCAATAACGATTTAAATTTGACAATAAATTACAAAATTAATTTTAAAATAAAATTTTACTATTTTTAATCACTAAACAATTTTCTTTTGGAACAATAAATTGCCATATATTATCCAAAATATTGGGTTAGAAACAAAAACACATTTAGCAAAAAAATTTTTTTTTTATTTAGGTATACTAAATAAAATGTTTGAAAAATTACACGCTATTTACCAAAAATGAACTATAAACACACAGATTTGTTTCAAAAACTAATATTGTTTTATCTACACATCCTGTTCAGGAAAAATCAATTATAAACAAATTTAATATACTCAGCTCATTGATATCAAAAATATATTACAGGAATTAATACACAAGATTATATATATTTTATGATCTGATAACAAGATATTTAAAATGAAAATGAATATAATAAATCATTCAGATGCTAAATAATATATCCATTGTTTTTGCCAAATTTAACTTATAAAAGCATATGCAATACATTTACCAGCTAAGATTCTTTAAAAGTTAATGCATTCTACAATAGCTAATTACAATGTATATAAAGGAAATATTATTTTTTTATTATTTATAATCTATGTTTGATTAACATTGAAGAGAACAATAACAAATTAATAAAATAATGCAGATTTAAAATTTTATTAAGCATCAACGCTTTTTAAATCAGACTAGATGGTAAAATTTAGGTAATCAATATTCTCAAAAATCATTTTATGCTTAAAACTTATTTTATAAAAAAAACTTTTAATTGACCTTAATTAAAAATGAAAAGTTTCAGAGTTTTCAAATCATGATGCTTTGTATTAAAACTTGTTAAAAAAAATCAATAGATATTTCAGTTTTATTTTTAAATTGTTAATTCGTGAAAATACACGAACTTAGTATTTTAAACTTTTAGTGTTTTTAATGCGGTCTACTTTTTAAGACCGTTTATTTCCTTTATCTCAATTTTAATTTTACTCAACTTTTACTTCTTGAGTATAATTATATAGAGCATTGTACTGGTAACTTATGTAAAAAACCATTTACACTTTACAACCCAGTGTATTACAAATTACATCAATTATCGGTTTTATCTTCTTACTATACATAGCGATGTTAATCACTTTGGTTATAATGCTATGGTTGATATTATTAATTATAACCGTTAATCAGTTTTGGTACTTTTGTTAAAATGTACGATACATTATTAAATATTGTTTAAAATATATTTATTTAAATTGTATAAATTACTATATATTGATTTTAGAATAAATCTAAATTTATCTCAAAGGCGAAAAGAAAATTTTAGTATGTTACAACTACATAGATCGATATTAAAAACATAAAAAAGCTATCAACTAACTTAATTATATACATTTAACCATGTTCTTGCAGTTTCATAAAATTGTTTGCTATTATTTTAATACAATGTGATGCATTGAAAATCATATTCTATGTACTTATATTATAAATTTCAATCATCTATTAATATTTGAATGAGCTTATTTATAATTATTATTACCTTTTATTTTTGATGTTGTGTTACTTATTAATTTTTTTTATAAAATTTGTATTACGTATACCTATTTATAATTTTTAATTGCAGAATAATGATAGTTGTGTAATTTATCCAAATGAACCATAAATCAACATAAAATAAATTGCATTTACGTAAAATTTATTTTAGTTTATATAATAAAATTCTATTTTGATGTACACTGCAGTGTTCAAAATCGTGTTAAAAATTTAAGCTAATTTTAGTTTTTATAAAAGACCGTAATAAATTAAAAATAAAAACCAAAAAATATGCACATATATCATAAAAAATATTCTTAGAAATAAATAATGACAAAAAAAATGTTTAGCGTAAATATAAAGTACTTAGTCTAAATCATTACATCATAAATTTGTATAATATTACATCTATAATTTTATATCAAATAAAATTATAAAATTAGCTATTATATAAGTATATTAGGAAAAAATGCAAGCAAAAGTCTAATTACTTTTATGCTACTGTTAAACAGTGAAAAGAATGTTGGGAGAGGGTTGAATAAATTAATTTTAAAATGTTACTTTTGTTATCGTGGTTTTGATTATTATAGTAAAGGCGATTAACCAGAGTTTGAAATTTTTTTGCATATAAAAACTTGCACAATAAAACTAATTCATAATTACAACCTTTATACCTATGATTTATAAACATTAGGTCAACTACATAACTTACTGAAATCTACGCATTCACTCTATATTACATTATACTGAAGTCTATAAATTAAAAATTATTTCAGCTCTTAATTTTATTGAAAAAGAAGAATTTTTTTTTAATGTGTATAAATAATTGTGTTTATGTATTTGTTTAGTTAGAAAATCAAATTCACAATGTATTGCCTAAACTCCCGGCACAATTACAAGAAATGGCAACCAAAATGTTAAGCAAGGACGTGGATGCGAGACCATTCGTCAAAAATTTATTGCACACGCCTTATTTCTGGTAAAATACTATAAATTTACTTAATTATATAAATATATAATATTTAGTCTTAAAAAGTTACCCTAGCCCAATACTTTAATTTGATTAGATTTTTGGAACATCAAGATTTACATCTTCAAATTAGTTCATAAGACAATCGAATTGAATGTATTTAATATAAATGATGCTTAGAATTATAATGCATAGTATGATAATTACACGATTTTTAAAATGTTATAAAATCATAAACATAAAAATAATTATTTTTTAATATTACATAATTCGTGACATGTCTACATTTTTCTTATCAGAATCACCGTGTTTTCCATTGATCTTCCGATCAAAAATTAATGTATTGATATTAAAAACAAAAACTCCATAATTTAAGCATAATAATATAATAATTAAATTATTTGAATTATAATCAAAATACCAAATTGTACCTTTTTGGACAACTGATGTCTTTGTATTATGCGTCATAATAAAATGTAACAATTACTATACGTTGTGAAAAATATTTTTCGGTTTACATTTTTCGTATAACAATTTTTATTCACTTTATTGCGTAGATTATGTATTTAAATACT